CCCCCCCCCCTTTTTTTTTTTTTTTTTGGTCTGATCATTCCCTAGGCATCTCTTTCCCTCATCTTCCAAGGTCATTCTCACATTCCATTACACTAGGGAACACTCAGATAAGAGACAACATAATCCACAGCTGGATAGTGGGTGGGGCAAGAGGCTCAGAAGAGACCCTCCTGATTTCTTGAGGGAAAGGAGATGGCAGGAGAATTGTACTTTCAGACTTGCAAGTTTCTGTTAATGTTGTCTTACAATAAAGTAGAATTAGCTCATCTGGCTGCGTTTCTTGTCTGGTCTACCTCACATCTGTCTACTTGTATCTGTCTACTTGTATTCTATGGCCATTGTCAAACACCTTTGCCAAATATACTGTAGCAAGTTGGTGGCTAAAAGAAGGATTTTTCATTGGTGGCATTTGCTTCCTCTTGTGCACCCACCTCTTGTACCTGGTGCTTTTTGGGGGTGATAAATAAAACCCTTTCTATTCTTAGGCTTTTAAAGAACTATGTTAATGCTTTTATATCCTCACTCTGTGTTATTTTGCAACTGGTTTTACTTTGACTTTATGTATTATTGCTCCCTTGCTACTGCTTTATTATGTATTTATCTTTGTATGGTTTTTTTTTTTTAATATCCATGTATACAGCTTAGTGAATTCTGGTTACTGAATAGTTTTAAAATTTATTTAGAATTAAAATAAAGTTTAGCAAATATCTTTCAGTTGTATGGAGGGCACCAGGGTAGAGAAGGTTAAGTTACCTTTTAAAACTTGATTTTTTGAGAGATGATATTAAAAAAGGAATATTAACATCAGATTTAGTCAAATAATTTCTAAGACAGCTGTTGCTCTGAAAGATGGATTTGATTAACTTCAAGACTCCAAAGTTCTGATAAATGGGGTAGAATCCTGAAATTGTTCCTCTGTATTCTAGGGATCCAACCTGACAGACATCTCCACCCAACTCCTGCTTCAAGGAAATTTATTAAAAATCTCAGCAGGAAACATCCAGGAGAGAACATTCTTTCTTTTTGATAACCTGCTTGTTTATTGCAAGCGGAAATCCAGGTGAGTGGACTGCCTATGTCAGTTCTTCAGTTTCCTTAATAATAAATACATGGAAATAAGTGTTCTGTGTTGTTTCTGGATTAAAGAGAAGGGAGCATCTCTTTTTTATAATTCCTTAAGAAGACTCACCTTACGTCTTGAGAGCTAGGGCTCTAGAGGTATGACTTTAGAAAAGGGGTGGGCAATCTTACCTTTGACTGGGGTTCTAACTTTTGGGTGGGGAGAGTCAATAGCCACAGGATCACAGGATGATGACCCAAAGTGGATGAGGCTGTGACCAGGATTTTATATGCAAAGTGAAGGAGAGGAGGAATCCTCCCTTGTTTTAAAATAAGTTGTTATTTACAAGGAAAGATTCCTATTTTTAAAAAAATTACAGTAAGCATATACTAATGAGTATCCTACACATTGCATGTATCTCCCTCAAAACATCGGGAAATTTTATTTTTTATTGTATTTTTAGCAGTCATGATCAGAGAGGGCTCTTGAGGGATCAAGATCAAAGAGGGATCTCACCCAGCTGTCTGGGGCTTAACACATGCTCACCCTAAAGGGCGGTGCTTATACCGCTGTGAATGTTGCTTTCATCATTCCCATGAAAGTCATGAGAACTTGCAGATTCTGTTGAAGACTGATACAGTAGATTACTCAGTTTTCATATTTACAGTGGTACCTCGGTTCACGAACTTAATTCGTTCTGCGACTCTGGTCGCGAACCAAATTGGTCGTGAACCAAATCAAATTTTCCCATAAGGTTCAATGTAAATGCGGTTAATCCGTTCTGACCCCTCCAAATTTGGTCGCGACCCGATTTTTGATCGCATCCTGAATCAAATTTCCCCATAAGGTTCAATGTAATTACGGTTAATCCATTCTGAACCATATGTATTTTTTTTTTTAAACCGCAAAAATATGACACCAAGTACAGTACAAAGAGAGAGAAGGCTAGCCTTGCTCGACACGACTTCTGGCGTGGAGGAAAGGAAGGCGGGTGGGGAGGCGGTTACGGGTTGGAGGGAGAGTCCCCCTCCCTACAGGAAGCCGCGACCACGTGTCACGGGAGGGAAAATGGCCGCGGATCCTGT